GGGAGGGAGGGAGAGAGAGAACTTTCGGCGAAAGGGGGGCGAAACTGAAGAGTCGGGAGGAGGGAGGGTCGGGAAATGCACGCCAGCAAGGACCCCACACAAGGTGGTGGCGAGACCGCCGAGCGATTCAGGACCCGTTTCAGGCTCGCAGTCACGTTTTACCAGCGTCTCGACGCGCTGCTGCCGATAAAGCCGAAGAGGAGGGCGGAGAAGACGAAGAAGAGAAGAAGAAGGAGAAGAGAAAGCCTCTTCGACGACGAGGGCTTCGGCAAGGACTTGCAGACTGTGCCTCTTCGAGATTATCTCCGAGATGTCGAGGTCGACGGATCACGTGGTCCTTCGCGGTCTTCCGCTGCTGGTCATCATGGCGACCTTGAGTGGGGCACAGTTCCGGTGTCCCGAGCTCAAGGGTTTCTTCCCCGACCTGGAGCAGTGCGATCTCTACTACGCCTGCGTGGACGGCCAGCCTGAGGAGAGGCTCTGCAAAGACGGCCTCGTCTTCAGGGACGACAACCCCAAAAAGGAACTCTGTGACATACCGGCGAACGTGCCTTGCGGCGATCGCACCCTCCTACGTAAGTTGGACTCGCAACGCGACGGATGTTTGCATCCTTTCGCGAGCGTTTCGCATCGGAGGCACAAACTTTTTGCTAACTAACTTTTTGTAACCCCTCTTACATTATTTATCTTATTTGGAATTAAGACAGAAGCGAAACTCTTCGAGATTATCAGTTCCCCATTAGTTCCGTGCTCGAAAAAAGTCAATAATTGAAATTCAGAGATTTCGAGGACAACGATTTTCCATTTGACAGAGAGAACATCTCTCTCGACTGTTGCGCTAAAGAAGCATCTGAAATATTTAACTTTAAACATTCCCCTCTCGTCGGCTAACGTCATCTACGTATGCATTCTCGCGGCTCGACATGCCAGAAGAAGAATAGCCGGTTAGGCAGTGTCGCGAAAATAGAACTCGGGGTGAACCGGTTTCGTCACAGACAATCCAACTCTTTCTCGGATTCGATTACTCAGAGTTCGTTCTTCAAATTTGCCCCAGACCGTTTCTCTGCCACATATTATACCACATAACGTAACAAATGCTATTCTTTCTCACACGCACGAATGAACGATGTGAGAGTAATGATAATGATAATCGCACACGACCGATTGCAGAGGAACCACATGCTAGCAAAGGCTGTCCCCGCGCAAACGGCTATTTCACGCACGAGGACCCGGCCTCGTGCGACCGCTTCGTTAATTGCATTGACGGGGTGGCGCAGGTGGTGCCTTGCCCACCTGGACTGATCTATGAGCCGAAGATGTCGAGCTGCGTCTGGCCGGCGGACGCGAGTCGCCTCTGCGAGAACGTCAAGCGCGACGTTCTCGACGATGGCTTCGTCTGTCCGGACGGCGACGTAGCCGGCCCATCCGGCAGGATCCTGCCACACCCGACCTATCCGCACCCCGAAGATTGCGCCAAGTTCTACATCTGCAAGAACGGCGTGGTGCCGCAAAAGGGTCAGTGCGAGAGTGGCACCGTTTACAACGAGGAGAGCTTCAGGTGCACCGAACCGGAGTTCGTGCAAGGATGGTAAGTGTCTCTTTCTCCTTTAGGTTTGGCATACATACATATGAGCGTTTGATCGCACTCTTTCACCCTTGTTTAAGGGTGAAAGACCTATTCAGGGCAAAAGAGTTTAGAATTCTAAAAAAGTAATCCGCAAACTGTGCCTGACGACCTCGGAAAGCGGAATTTTCTCCGCTTTCGCCTCGAGAAGGACACCGAATTAGACGTGTATATGACCAAATTCACTCGAATGTTTCAGTGAGGACTACTACAAGCGCAAGAACTGAGCCAGGAGAGCGCGAAGGGGCGCCGGTCTCAACCGCGGCTACGTGTGCAGCGCTTATCTTTTTACTTGTGGGAACAATAAACGCGTGATACGCGCGCTCGCTTACGTAAGCGCGCCGCGTGTGGTCTTTGCGAGAGAGCGCGATCATACCCGCTCCGCCCCACCCGCCACAAATTGCTACCCCTTTCTCCTTTTACGTAAACGAATTCGCCGGTCGGAAAATCCGTAGCGCGCCACGTCGTCGCGGATCACTTACTCGCGCAACGACGATATCGCGTTAATGTCCGTACGTTGGATAAACGCCACCGCTCGCCAACCGGTCCGATTTTATATAATTATCGATTATACGCGCGAGATACGTGGCATTTTATTGTAAAAGGCGCGCGCGGATACACGCGCGCGCACGCTCGCACTCGTCCGCAATTCCGTGATTAAGTAACCCGTATAATGAGACTATTTATTATAATCCATTCGGGAATCGATCCCCTTTCACTCTTAGACGTTGCTTTCAAGTAACGTTTCTACCGTAAGAATCACGCTGTGTTATGCGTATGTCCTGTATGACGTCCTTTACACGCATTTTATACGCGGGCATTTTACACACGAAAATGCCTTCGCTCCGGCTCGCAATATCTCGGCAGATTCGGAATCAGTTTTGCTTCGAGACATTCTCAAGATATTCAGAGATCCCGTGCCGAGAGAAAGAGAGAATCGTTTTGCAGCACGTAAGATATGTGTACGATGAGTGATTAATAAAATAATCGAGCCATAAGTGCCTTACGAAACGACTGCCTATTCTTTCAGATTATTCTATAGCCTAACAAATTATTTTTGAACATAATTGTTATTTTCGAGCATAATCACCAAAGCGACACGGGTCCAAGGTCCGTATTAACAGTCATTACTGGAAACTCGTCTATAGTGACATACTCAGATTTCAACTCAGAGTTAGATGAGAATTTCCCAGTTGAATCGCGATTACAAATAAATATCACATACATTACAGTTCAACGGAGAAACTTGGATCGAATTCTAAATGAAAAGCTGAATACCTCATTTGAGGAAAGTTTCAAGTGATGCCTATTAATATGGACCTCAGAGGTTTATCTCGAAGTCAATTGAGCAACGTTGAGATCTCCGTCCGCACGCGAGGCGACTGAGTGTATTTTATATCGCGAGAGTTACACCTGGCGGAGTCGTGCGCGAGCTGAATCGTTAATATTCTATCCCGACTCGTACGAGAGACGGACGTGACTTTCTCTGAGACGCGAGAGACTGGACATCGAAAATCCCCCTCAACCCACGACGCTCCAGTATGCGTGGCGAGAGATGAGCTCGCGAAATCGTATCTCCAAGCGCATATCCCGGATTTCACTTCGGCGAGCCAAATGTCAGAATCGCAAGAATCAGTTATAACGTCGCGACATCTGACATTATGAATGTCGCGCCTTCTCGTGTTTGCATTAAAGGACAACGCGCCTTCGACGAAGGCGGGATTCCATAGACTGGCTGCCCGCGGAAAGCGGAGAAATAATCGACACAGAGGGCGAAAAATCGCGGGATGAATTACTCGGTTGATTAGGCGAGATCAAATGCGAGACGCGCATACACAATGAACAATGTTCGTTGTGATATTCCGAGAGCTGCGGACAATTTCTCTTCGTTTGACCGATTGTAACCTTTCTCTTTACGTAATGCATGATGTGTTCGACGAAATACATCTCAACCGTACCGTTTACATTTCGTACGTAAATCCGGCGTTGAAGAGAGAGAGAGAGAGAGAGAGAGAGAAGGAGAGAAATTTTCTATTTTTTATTTCTGCGATTAACATGTAGTATGTGCATTGAGGAAAAAAAAAGTACTTGAAAATTTATATCTGTGGGATGCATAAAGTTTATTTCTATAAGATAAAGTTTTTGCGAATAAGCTTTTTCTCTTTCTTTACATCTCATAAGCAAATGTTCTAGCATTTTTTCTCATTGTATGAATGTCTTTATGTATCTCTCTTTTCCTCTTTTTCTGTCTTCCTCTGTTATTTACTGTCATGTTACCAACAATTTGTTCGTGGAAAATCGCAATTTCTGAATCGTTAAACCGCCAACATGACTCGTCATGACGTGTACATTTCGATCTCTTGATCGATCTATCGACTCGCTCAACCCGGCTCAGGCTGCTTTCACTATCCGGGCAATCTGGCCCGTCCGTCGTTGGGGCCAGCAGCGATGGGTCTTGCGTAAGGCTAGTTGAGGCCCCGGGGCTTACCTGCGCGCATGCGAACGCGCTCGTTGAGATCACGCGTCCGCCGTTTCGCACATTGTGTATACACGTTTCAGTTAGGCAGTTACACGCGTTCGCCGGTTACATCGTGTACAGAAATGCGCGTTACACCTTCGGTGACGTCACGGGAGGAGGATCGCACCTTGGCATTAACCGGTCGGACCGCAACCGACCGACCGTTGTCCTTGCTGATTTACTTCTTATTCTTACTTCCGCGCGAGCAATTTAATTTTTCTCTGAGGAGAAAAGCAGTTGGATCGACAAAAACGGCGATCACCTGCCTTAAAGAATATTTTACACAATAACAATATATTTTGTTTCGCTCTAACTTATTGCACCTGTGTGCACCAGTTCAAATAATTCAGCTAAAAAGGACAGACTTGATATGTTTTCGAGATCACATGATCCTTGAAAAGATCATTGTTCAAGACATATAATTTTTATCGCGACATTAATTATCAGCCTCTTTAAGGCCGCACATAGTGCGTCAAATTCATAAGACATCGTTTTTGAATTAACATAACATTTTCGAGCACGTCTCGAGTAAAACTTTTGTTCGTTGGAGTCGTGATTTCTCGATTGCTAAAATCTCTGCTTAGTGGTTAGATGCGCAATATCTCATAATCGCGAGAGCTACGCCAGGCATCATAATTGCAATATCCCGAGTTGTCAATTACGCGAAGCGTCAAGAGATACAAGATAATATTTCCACCTCCGCAGCCGTTCACCGAGCGCAGAAATGCGCGATATTAAATATGCGGAAAAAAAACTTGAGCTTGCGCAACAAAGTTGCACACGGAACGTGTGTGTATGTGTGTGTATGTGTACATACGTAGCATCCCTAGACATTTCACGCCGAGAGACGCGGCAGAAAAATCGCGCTCTGGCGTCAAGTGCATCCTGGCTAACATCATCTATTCATAAGATACGCATGTTCACACGGAGCTGCTGCGCGATACCAGTGGAGATTAGAAAGATTAGAGATACGAATTGTTCTTTTGTTACGAAGGCTCCTTCGCGGATTCGAGATTTTTAACGGATCGTCGTGAGCTCCTGTATCCTTGAACGCATCAAAGATCTTCAAGGATCCTTCCTCCAAATTTCCATATCTTGCGATCTCTTCACAAATATTCAGTCATCTACCAATTCGCAAGCCGCCAATATTCCGCTGTGGATTTTCAGACTTTGAACTTCCAGACTCCTTTCCAATTTCCCTTTCCGCCCGCAATTTCTCGCGACGATGTCTGCTCCTCTCTCCTGAGAGACGATCCTGTGGTGAAGCAGGACCTAGTCTCAATCCGAGTTCCCGAACAATCCATCACGAGCTCGGCGTCGTTGAACGTCGCGCGACAGCGCAGGCAGCTAAGCAAGCAAAATAACAGCGACCCAGGGGAACCCAGAGGGACCCTGGGGTGGGGTTCAGCAATGCCGTGGTGAAGGGAGTGAAGGGAGACGAGGAGACTGTCGTGTGCCGAGGTGTACCGAGGCCGATAAGTGCGCGCCAATCGGCGGCGGTCCGACCTCAGTCAGTAGTCACAGAGTCCAGTAGCCAGGCGTCGAAGAGATCGTTGAGCTCGAAGAAAGAGGGACCGCGATGATGAGTTACTACCTGAGGAGCGTGACCCTGCTGTTGGTCCTGGCGGTCCTGGCACGTGGTAAGTTCTCCACTACCACCACTACCACCCACCGCCACCGTCGCCACTATCACCTGCCACGGTCACCTTCACCTCTTACGCACTTCGATGCACGATCTCGTGCATCCCCAATGATCTCGTGATGCGCCCGTTCAGTTCATCTCTTCGTCTTCTTCCTTCATGCATCCATGAGACGCACAGTCTGCGCCTCCGCAGGCGTATATTCTGCACTTTCTATCTCGCGTGCGTCGCGACGCCACGACATCACCCTCGCGAGGCTTTCACCGTCGACACCATATGTTAGGACGTGTGTGACATAATGGCGGACGGTCTGTCACATTCTGTGGTAAATCGTACGACGAACTTGCGGCCAGCCCGGGCCTCTCCTTTTCGACTCGCGACATTCGTACTTTCGAAAAGAACTGGAATTCTCTGCAAATCGTTTCCGCATGACCGCAGTTGGCTTTCTGGCTTTCGCGTCTTTTTCGCGCTGTTTTTTCGCGTATGGCGCCCGTTACACTCGCTCGGCTTCGCAGTCGAAACGCAGGCTCTTAGGCGCAGAAAAAAGTTCGGGGGAAGTTCTGCGTTCGCCGCGAAGCTGTCATGCGAAACGAGTCTTTTATCGCGTAGAAAATTGCCGCGAGTTGGTCAAACTGGATATCGACGAAGTCGCGTTTCCCATACAGATGCAAATTTCCGTCAAGTCACCTAACATGCCATTGTCTGAACTGGCGACCGTTCTAATATTCACTTTCAGATCTATGCAAACTTCAATGCTATCATATGCCGCGCATAATAATAATATCCTATTAATAATATCCTACAAAAGATAGATATCATACTGGTCGCTAAAACGTCTAGCGTTCAGACTGGAAAAATAAAGACCTATCGTCTTGTTTCACACTTTGTTCTACGTTTTGTGCTCTTTCTCGCCCCACAGTCCAGGGAGCCACCCTGCTCGGTGCCCCGCCGTGTCCCGACCCTTACGGGATCCATGCTTACGCCCACCCTGAGGACTGCGGGGCCTTCTTCCTTTGCACCAACGGCAGTCTTACGTTCGAGTACTGCGAGAACGGGCTGCTCTTCGACGGACACGGCGCGATCCACAACCACTGTAATTACAACTGGGCCGTCCAGTGCGGCCATCGCAAGGTCGACTGTAAGTATATCGCTCCATATTCTCGATACTGCCACCCATCCGTTACCTTTCAAAGCCTTTTCGCCACTTACATTCCTTTTTGTCACTCAGCCCCCTACCACCTCCTTATTATTCGGTACGTGATCTCTTTGCAAGGCTACGCGGCCTGCACATGCGAGCGAGAACCACTCGTCAGTGGCGCGAAAGAAACATTGTCGTGAAAGTAAAAGTTGCGTCAAAGCGAGCGATTTTGGCAGCGCCTTAGTGGGTCACGTTAACGCCGTTCGTTATAATTCCAGCCTCGAGCGAGTCTCTTTATCTCCTTATCCCGTTTACTTCATCGTCGATGCGCCTGTCGCCAACTTCCACTCTCGTTTCTCCCGTATTACATCCCCTACCTCTCTCTCTCTTTAGGAGAAAAGCCTTAGGAATCTTTTAGGAAAAAACTTCTTTAGAGAAAAAAGTCGCTTCTAAACGCCGTACTTGCAATTCTCACAAATTCATTTTCGGAACGAATCGTCCCTCAGACACACCCATCAGCAGCCCCGGCTGTGAGTACCAGTTCGGCATGTACCCGGACAGCGACGGCTGCAGCACCACCTATGTCAAGTGCATTCACGGCGAGCCGCATCAGGCCCACTGCGACCCCGGCCTGGTCTACAACGCCAAGACTCACACGTGCGTCTGGCCCGACGAACTCATCCCCGTTTGCAACCCCGAGGCTATAGTGGGCTTCAAGTGCCCGCACAAGCTGCCGCCACACAGCCCCGCCGCGAAATTCTGGCCTTACCCGAGGTAACGTGATTACAATATGGCTGCGGTGCGGTTACGTGTTTCGGAGAAGTCGCGCGCAATAAGAATCGAAGATAAAAATGGCCGCGGGGGATCAATGCCTTCCTCGTGGGTGGGTTGTTCGATTCGGTTTGCTTTCTCCTCAGGAAAAAGGCCGATTCGCTGCTGCTATTAATTAATGCACGCTTAAAGGCGCGCGCCTCTAATAGCGTCATTCATTATTTTTAATTAGTGCCCGCGCGCGTTTCTCTTTCCTTCCCTCTTCTTTTATTCATTATCTATCTATTAATGCAACGTACGGAGGAAGTATCTAAGCTCTAAATGATAATATCTGTAATAAGTACGACTTTTGTTTCTCAAAATTAATTTTTTTTAACCGCTTTCAAATTTCAAAATTCATTCGTTTTCTTTTTCTTAATTGATATTATTTACGTTTCTTAATTGATTATATTATTTCTTTTTCTTAATTGATATTATTTACGTTTCATTCATTCATTCGTCGTTCGTTTTGTTTTATAAGCTATCTAGGATTCACACGTCAGATTGCACTATTAGATTCCAATGCATAATTTATACATTGGCGCGAATTTCCATTTGTGCTTAATCTTCTTTTTCTTAATTGATATTAGTTTTACGTTTCATTCATTCATTTATCGTTCGTTTTGTTTTATAAGCTAGGATTCACACGTCAGATTGTTAGATTCCAATGAATAATTCATACATTGACGCGAATTTCCATTTGTGCTGCACTGTGTATTTATTAACGGCTGCGCACGTCATTTTTTTACACCGCCACAGGATGTAATAAAATCTTTTATCTCCATCTCTTCCTCCCCGTTTCTCCTTTCTTTCTTTCTCTCTATCTCTCTCTTTTATCTCGATGAAGATTCGGGGAGGAAATATTGCGCGCCGCCGAATGCGAGAGTAAAAGGAGTCAACGCAGTTAAATGTCAGACCGTTCGCGTTTTGTGCGTACCACTCGATTTAAGAACCGGTCGCCTCTGCGAAAGAGACTGGAAGAGAAAGAGAGAAAAACAGATGAGACAAACGCCACGGTGCGTGTTCGGCGAATATGCCATTTCCTACCACGTCAACGTACGCGTAGCTCTTTCTCCGCGAATTACGCGTATCGTGTCGAAGGCTGAACGTTGTTGTTCGCAACAGCAAATGTATAGGACAGCTTTCGAATACTAAGAAATTTATGTGCGCGCGCAAAGAGTGCGACCAAATGTAACCCTCATTTTGCGGCATTTGAAATCTTAAATTATTTTCTGACCAGCATATTTAATATAATAATATTTTTGAATAGCTATTCATGAACAGATTAAAGATATATACAAGTATTAAAGTGACACTTCACTATTTGGGAGAAAATAACTAAAAAAAATACGCATTCTGTCGAAATAAATGGTATCGTTAGGACCCTTATGGGAAATGGAAGAGAGATGAAAATCTTTAATAAATAAAATAATATATAATTATATAATTATATAATAATATATATAATTAATAAAATATAATACGGACTATAAATCCTAATAATATTTATTAATTTAGGATGACTTTCCAATTAGGATGAAGTTCCGATTAACTTGATTGCCGATTAATTCCGTTGTGACCAACAAATAGCTATTGTCAATTTGGCTAGTTACAACGGAATTAATATTTATTTCGACAAAATATGTATCTTTTGCGCTAGTTACAATTAACCTTCAGGCCGGCATTTTTTCATTAAAAAAGTATTTTTTTTCTCAAAAATTTTTCTATATAAGTAACATACACATGACGCAGAATTTTGAGATTTGTGTAAAGCCATAAAAGTGGCTTTCCCGGCAGTCTAAAGGTTAACAAAATATGTATCTTTTGCGCAATTATTTTGTTAAAAAATAACTGAAGATTTCGAATGTGACAAAATATGAGACTAAAAGTTCATGAGAGCTCTCTCAACTACTCTCTTCCCAGATACAAATTTAGAAGAATGTGAGTACACACGGAAACAATGCAATTTTTTAGATTCCCCGTGCCAGGTGATTGTGGTAGATTGATCACCTGTGTGGACGGACATCCGCGACTTCTTACTTGCGGAGATGGGAAGCTCTTCGACTCAGTGAGCCTGACTTGCATGCATCCTGATGACGTTCCTCACTGGTTTGTACTTGTATTTTATATCACGCTGGTGGGAACAACGCGTTTCCCATTCAGTTTATTCAGGGCAAAACCCATAAGTAATTTGGACCTTATCGAGATATCATTAAACATTAACCTAATTTAATCCCGATGAGAGACGTAAGTAAATATTTCTCTTTGGATTTTCTAAGTGTGTACTTATATTTATTTCAGCTCCAACAATCTGTAAACGCGGGGATGCATTCCCGACATCCGAGACTTCAAATCAGCAAACAACGAGAATAATCAACCAACCAATTGACGACGAAAAACTGCATATTTCCTAACCGAACCTCGACTAAATGAAGTACGACTTCAATATAAAATTAGTGCGCAAAGCTAAAAAGATTAGATGCGCATCTGTAAAAAATTGTTCTTAAAAATTGCTCAAACAAAGAAAATCAATTACAAGACACGAAAGATCAAAATTCATGTAAAATCACGACGAATGAGGAACAAGCACGCGCGAGAGAGACTTGAATTCGAAAGCATCGCTGAAATTACGAGAGACGCGATATCGTTGCCGATCAGTCGGCAACGAGAAACAAAAAATGCACACTTCCGTTAATATCTCCGCTAAGTAGTAGCTGTTGTTGCAAATCTACGAGGATAGCAAAAACGTAAATTATTCCTAATGTACGTTCGAAGGGGGAGAGTGATCGTATATAGCGTGCACGAAGAGCGAGTACGATATGTAGTACATATAGTGTATTTATATAATACGATATATATGTAATACATATATAAAATGTATATTTATGATAAATAGAGTGTAACAATGTACAGCCAGGCAACATCGAATAAAATCTGGACACGCGTATAAAAAAATATACAACGTACAATTCCTTTCGATCGATCTACGTATACAACTTACGATTAAGAGCGTGATGGGGGAGAGAAAATGAGAGAAAGGAGAGGACAGGAAAGAAAGAGAAAGAGAGAGAGAGAAAAGGGACACACAATGAAAGGGTTGGGGAAAATATTTACATCTCGACCGAAGTGACAGAGGCGATTGGAGGACGGTCCTGCGACCGAACGACGAGATGTTCATAATTAATGTTATTACTAATCGATTATACGAGTCTCCGTTCGCGGGGGAGGGAGGAGAGAGCTCGATCGGTCGATGTCGACGAGTCTCGGTCGTTGGCAGTGGGAATTACTCGTTGAACAGCCAGCTCTTCTAGCCTTTGCAGTTCCTTACCTCCGTTCAGTTTCACGTCTTTTCTCATTAACTTTATCTTCGACGATAACGTCGCTGCGAGGTTTCAAACTGGAAGAAATGAGAAAGCCATGCGCGTCTTACACGAGTTTTCTCGACAATCGCGGGAGTCTGACTATTCGGATTATTCTGGACAATTGCATTCGGGAAAACGTCAGGATTAAGAGAAGCTGAGGGCACTCGATTCTTCGGGGAACTACTACGAGGACTTCGAATCTGCGGGAAGGGGAATCTCAGAGGAGACTCGGCGAGAGAATTTCGAGAATTCTGCGGACCGATCGAGTTACGACGAATGACGAGCTCGGTACCGCAGGACCTCGCTCGTCGAGGAGAGCACTTGTCGCTTCCTTCGTCCTTCCGACCACGACGTGACTTCTAATTTCTAGTGCGCGCTCGCAGAGAAATCGGCAGCGCGCCTGCCGGCAAAGGTGGCACGCCCGGTGGCAGGTTCTCCTCCTCGGGCTCCTGCTCGTTACGACCATCGGACAACTCGCCCTCGGTCGGCGGCGGCGTCGTCGGCACGTCGCAGTCCTCCGTCGGCGGGACGACGCACCTCAGGGATCTCCTGTCGAACACCAGCATGGCCGGGCAACGTTGCAGGCGCGGGTAGCCGCCCTGACATTGCCAGTACCGGTTGCACGACTTACCAAGAGGCACGTTGCCGTTGGCGTCGTCGTTGCAGAGAGCTGCAAAAGCACACCGCGTCTTAGAGCCACGTTCAAGTCATAGACATGTAATATTTAGACTGCGCTTTGACTGAGAAGACGTTCGAAATTGGATAGAGAGAGAGTGTTTGGTATCACTATTCTATCTTTATCTGACATTGTGCAGTGAGGATTTCAATTTTATTCACTGACTATACGTTTGCTGAAACGAAGCATCTTTAAGGGGACTGGAGAATCAGATTGTCTGAAAATCGTGCTTGTTTTTTCACAATTTTTTATGACAAACTGAATGAATATGCGAAAGTGTTATTTTGACGTGTATTTATACAACATATAAAGAGAAGAAAAATATAATTTTGATGATCAAATACTCAATATAAGTGTATGGTACATTCAGTTAAAATATATTTCGTCTTTCTTTTCAAGGTCGTCATTTCTTATCTCTTGACTCTCGGTGGTTCAATTAAGCTGAATTTTAGATAGAAAATTTCCATAAGCTTATCGTTATCATGTGAATTACTATAATAGAAATTAAGTAAAAGTTAACAAAATTGCAAATATCTTAATGAAATATTATTAAATTTTCAGTTCTTTTATAGTAAAAAAATTAATATTTAACTGTGTCAGTGGTTCACACGATAACGACAAGCTTACAGAAATTTTCTGCCTAAAATTCAGCTTAATTGAACCACCGAGAGTCAAGATATTACTGCAAAATGACGATCTTGAAAAGAAAAACAAAATATATTTTAACTGTATGTATCATACATTTATATTGAATATTTGTTTATCAAAATTATATTTTTCTTCTCTTTATATGTTGTATAAATACACGTCAAAATAACACTTTCACATATTCATTCAGTTTGTCATAAAAAATTGTGAAAAAACAAGCACGATTTTCAAGCAATCTGATCCTCCAGTCCTCTTAAGCTTGACCTGCAATGTATTCTTTGCTTCCTGTTTCTTTCTCTTTATTTCTTTTTGACTCAAATCTTAAGCTTCAAGTCAGAAGAAGACAGAGAACAACAGGAAGCAAAGAGCACATTGTAGATTAGGCTTTACACTTGCCAGATGTGCCGTATTTTCCTCTACGTCTTGCAATTCTCCTTCATTCCTTCTCACACCTTCTACTGTTTTGTTTCCTCAATCAACAAGACTTTTTTATTCCCCCACGCGTCTTTAGAAAAACACAGGTTGTTGATTTGTTGTCTATTTGCTGATGCACGGTGTAAGTATTATAAGTCTATAGTTCAAGTCGCCGTAACTTCGTCCAATATTCGCCTATTGTTCATTGTTCTTGCGTTCGGCTGTACCTCATTAAAAACCGAACTGGATCGTTTGCGCGCTTTTTCAACCGGATACAGTTGTCGACGTGAATCACCTACATCCGCGTGCTGATCACGGTTCTTCCCGTCGAGAGTTTCCGACCAACTTCTTCTTACCTCGGCAACAGCTCAGAGATGCGATACCGACCCGGTGAAAGTCGCGGACTCTCGTTTGCTCATTCGTTCCAGCTGCATTCGATGACGGATCAATTCGAAATTTCGTCGTGCAAAATGCGAACGAGACTATTGGCAAAATTTGAAGAACTTGTCAGAGAAACAGATGTATGCATTGACCACGAATATCACCATTATAACACAGAAGGGAATCCTTTCGAATGCGTAAATAATAAAAATTGTTACTGACAAGCGCTCATTGATAGGCTTGTGTTACCACACAATTAGATACACCGCTGAGAGATATTCAAATAAAACGTGAAGTATTCGAGATAAACGTGATTCAACCTCCAATTAATTGCCTAAGAGTGAAAGCTTTTCTGTCCCGATTCTCATCCTTCTTTTCGTAAATTTAATTCTTATGCGTTAGTCGCCTTTATATTCCAGATTCCAGTCTCGAAATGGCAAGATACGATCTCAGCAGCAATCGATGCGCCGACCGACGTTCGGCATTCGAAAAGACGGCGCGGCGCGAATTAATAAATGCTTCATTCGATCCCGCACGCGAGGAGAGGGAGAAAGGCGCGACGAGAATTCACTTCGAATGCTAATTAAGTGCCTCGCCCCTTTTTCCTCGGGGCACTGACTCCTGGAAGGACCGAGGAGCCGGGATGAGGAAACGCGTCTTACGAGCGCGTCCCGTTCGCCCACTTTCGAAAGTGAAAATGAACGGAACGGGTTGCGCACCTCTCGAGAATTAAACTCGTCTAAAAACGCGTATTAGAAGTACTTCGCGATTCAAGCCGGCCGAATGCAACTAATTCCACCTAATTGCTTGAGCAAACGAGAAAAGAAGGAAGCTTCCTAGCTCCAAGTTCACAGTAAGAATCATTCGCGGAAAGTTAGTCGAGTATCTCGTGGAAGTAAATAAAACTTCGATCACCGCGGATGAACGACGATTAGGGGAGACCGGGGTAAGTTGGCAAAACCGATTATTTCTAGTATTTTCCAACAAGTTACAAAATCAAGCAAGTAAGATTCTTAAACATGTCAAAGATGACTTTAAAAATTAAAGTGCTTACTGAAATCCGTGATTCTAAAATCCGCTAAAGAAGAGTAAAATAATCGATTTTGCCAACTTGCCCCGATCTCCCCTATATTGGTCAACGAAATTTCATATTTTCTTTGCTTCACGAATGTGAATAGTCACCTCCGATGTATTTTTACTCGCTGAACACGAATCCAAATTTGGAATTTTCTATTGAATTATTATTTTAAGGAAAGTAGAGATAAAAATGCCAGAAACGACAATTTGAGAGTTTTTATGATTAGCAGCAAATTTTTTCCCCCAAATTTCGTCAGTCAACCCGTCGATCCTACTTACGGTGCTTCTGGCATCCCTCGACGTTCTCGGGCCAGTCGCAGGATCTTGCGCGCTCGTTGTAGAGCAGGCCACCTATACACAGCTGCTCGGTGGCGGTGCCGTTCCAGCAGGTCCAGTACCTGGTGCAGGAGGTCTCATGGCCGAAGATACCGTACAGCCAGTCGCAATGGTCGGTCTGGATCGGCGGATTCGCCTGGCGTTTACCGTCGCAGTAGTTCGCCCTCCAGGGATAATCGCAACCCTCGGTGACGCCGCGATGTTTGCCGGCGAACACGAGACCGTTCGGACAGTCGAAGAGCTCGGGGCGACCGTTCACGCATTCCCAGTAGCGATCGCAATATTCGATGTCGCCCACCACTCGCGACTTCGTCTGGCAAGGGTCCTCTTGCTGTTGTTTCTGAGCCAACAAGCCTGCAAGCGTGATACCGTCAGTGTACCTCCTTCGTCCCGTCCGCATTGTGACCGATTCCCACGTGTTAGTGACTTTCATGAGGTTTCTGTTAGTTCAGCGATTGTCCTCGCGTAACAGTTGTAACGGTAGAAGAATTTTAATGCGCATGTTACTAATGCATTACGATTCGACCCTTATCCTTTTGCTTTTTAGATCAGACATGAAACCTTGTCGAGGAGATTGGAGTGTTCAGGAGACTAGAGTAATTTTAAAACTTGTTTCGCGACGATAATATATACACGAAATTGTTAAACATGTTACATCACATCTGTACAATATTATAAGAAAATTATATCATACCTATGGAGTACTTCAAATTATAAATAAATATTGTGAGAGTCAGTCGGTGTCGTAAAACTGAATAAGATGAGTCGTGTATTATCAAAAATATTACAAATATTGCCCGAGTTTATTTCAATCTTCTGAGGACGATTAATTTAAAAGTATCTCCCTCCCTCTTTGAGTAAGTATTGTAACATTCTTGTTAGTAAACGTTAAGTATGTTAATATCGAGAGTAAGTAAGAAATAGTTGAGTTAACTGAAGAAGCTCTCATGAAAATGACAAAGAGAGATTAAAATCGATTATACTACAATCTCAAAAAAAGCTCTTGAAAGTAGCAAAGCAAAAATTGGAGTCAAAATATGAAGGATGTACGAATATCAGAATAAATAGGAGTCTACCTTGCGTCAAACATGTAATAATAATTAAATTTTTCTGACTAAGGAGGATAATTAGTCTGCTTATGAAAAGAATATTCCGATATCGTTTCCTGCTTTCTCGATGTTAATCGAGCTACAACAAATTATCTGGAACCTCATTAACAACCGACATTTCTATTTATCTGCCAACAAAACAAAATAACGGAATGCGCGGGATCGTGTCGACAACAGGAATTGCACTTGCGGTGTCGATGAAATTGCGTCCTCGTCAAAGGACGATCGAGGGACTAGGTGAATATCAAGGATGCGCGGAAGGCTTGCAAATATCGCCGATTCTATTCTGGTCGCACGCGCACTTTCGTTCAACATCGTGATAAAACCCAGCGCCGTCCGATCGACTCGATAACCGTGACGACCTAGACGCACACGCAAAATTGATTCACGACTCAAGGATAATTAATACGGCTGATTAATACAAAATACATGGAATGCACGTCCTTTTTCCGCATCGCGATAAGCGTAAAATACGCATGATATCTCGAGATGACGTCATGTGAATTTCTTTCACCGCGACTCGCTAGAGATCACACGCGGATCCTCTCGCAGAAGGACGTCCACGTCGAAAGTGGAAAGTTAACGTCGAATAATGGCGTCGTCCTTGCCACTTAGAATATTTCTGCAGTAAGGATGCAGCGACGCACAGTTCTTTCACTCTCTCCTTTTTTCTTTTTCTTACTCCGTGTCTTACGCGTTTCGCGAGTCACTCCGGAATCCTAAGAAGAATTCTGCGTGACCCGAGACCAACGGCTATTTTCGCCAGTCGGAAGATTCAACATCGCGCGATGGAAACATACCTTTACCTTCAAGAGGAATATTTCTGACGCTGACAAGTGTTGTTGTGTCAGACAGATTTGTCTCAATTACTCTCGAGTTCGAGAGCTTAAAGAGCAACATAAATAAAGTTTAGTTCCAAAGAGATATGATTTTTCTATGCAATCTCTACACATTTACATTTACACTTACACAAAAAATTCTTTTACACATTTACACAAAAAAAGTATTTAAAAATTAACAAATATTTATTAGGTTGGTACCATTAACATATTTACTTAAATGAAAAGAATTTTGACTTAAAGCTTCTGGCCCCTCGCATTGTCTATCTCTTTTTAATGACGGCAGAAGCGAGAAAATGCATGCCAAAAATTCTTGCGAAATACGTTAAAATAAAAATATATATCCATAAAGTAACACTTGCAATTTAACAATTTTATTAAACAAATTTGTAAGATATTCCGTGCACTCCCCTTTTACTCTAACAATAATTTGTCAACAATTGCTCTATCAATAATTTGTCGTAAATTAACATGACATACGATTCATCTTCTTAACCTATTTCCTCGCCTATTTTTATTCAGATTAATTTACAATAAATTATTGATTGTTAGAGCAAAAGGGGAGTGCACGGAATATCTTACAAATTTGTTTAATCGATTGCAAGTGTTACTTTATGGATATCTATTTTTATTTCAATATATTTCGCAAGAATTTTTAGCATACATTTTCTCGCTTCTTCGTCATTAAAAAGAGATAGACAATGCGAGGAGCCAAGAGCCTTAAGTAAATATATTAATGGTACCCACCTAATAAATATTTTGTAATTTTTAGATATTTTTTCTAAGTGCACGCGTCATAAGTTCGTGCGATTTTTGGAAAATCGAAGGTGCATAACACTACTAGTCGAGGAGTACAGTGGATATCGTAATACCCGATCGTTCTGCTAATGATCCGGCAAACGGAGGCGCACGTTCGCCGGAAAAGCAAATAGTAAAATAAGGTGGGAAGCCGACGTGAGACACGCTCCCAAGACGGTACGAGTGAAAGTGCCTAGCCTTGACTTACAACCTTCGGGGGCAGCTTTGCTCCACACCCCTGCTCCACCCCTCTGGCTTCCCTGGACTTGCGGGCTCCTCTGAGTGCACGAAAGATTCGATCAACTGGTGGACCCGCCTAATAGCCGTTCTCATTCAGCTCTAGTCGGGATGATTCTTCGATTCGATCGAAGCCATTAAGATCGACTTCATACATCTTATTTTGATCGTATTCAATTTCTATTTTGGCCATAATAAAACTACTAAAATATCGAAGTGGAAAATTTTTCTCGTGAACTGTACCAGCTACGCTGTTTCACTCATGTGTTGTTAAATGTCAGAACGAGACGAAGCCTTGTTTTACAAGAGACCATTTGTACAAGTTAGTGGAAATCCTTGAAATCAGTAAAAATTGGCAACATTAAAAGTAAATCAGATAAGAAAGCAAGATCTATAAGATCATAAGTTCAAAAAAATTTGGAATTATATTTTTTGGACAGGAGGGAATTTTTGCTTGTCACGTATTTTTTATTTACCTTCTATTATTTATTATTAATATAAAAAAAAATATATATATGTGTGTGTGCAATATATATTTTATTATATTTTTTATTTTATTTATATATTTATTCTTAAACAAATAAAATAAAATAATAAGTAACAGAAACAAAAATGTTTGGCAAGTTCCCCATGTTTCTAAAAACGTAATTCCATATTTCTTGGAATCTATGATCTTATATGATCTTGATTTTTTCTCTAATTTACTTTTAATGCTGTTAATTTTTACTGATTTCAAGAATTTTCATTAACTTGTCGTACAAAGCGAGATGATTCCTTGTTAGGTTGACGTCTTTCTTTCTCTCTCTTCCCTCTTTCTCTCTTTCTCTGTCACGATAGAGATTGAGATTGAAATAAAAATAAAGGAGTTACAAAACAAGCGACTGGAATCTTCGACAGGTTGTCTTTCCCGACGCTGTTCGAGATAAGTTCGCAATCCTGGCGCGATGGTACCCCGTCGTGGCGCCGGTAATAGTTTCACTACGACCGCGACGTTAATACATGTGTATCGCGCGCGCGCTTTTACGATGGCATTTAGCCGCGGAAAAATAGCGCATTGTTGGCCAACTAGTCCGAGCGGATAAAGGAAGAAAAGCGAGGCACGATCGATCTCACGATACGGATAATCTCGTGGGGAAGCGAGCTTCGCTCGCCGTCTGAGAACGTCTAGAGATTGCGAGTTTCCAGCGGCGATTGTGCAAAGCACACGGCCTTAATTATTAATGGGCATATCGTAATCGTTCTACAATCGATCAGCACGAGACGCCCAGGCTATTCTAAAGTACTCGAGGAAGTTGTTCTGCGCGGTAGTTCTCCACGTAGCTCCGAATCGCGATTTTCCGCAATTATAAACGCTTAAAATTGCGAAAACCTGTGAAAGTTCGAATCCATCGAGGCAAACTTCGTCGTTATTCCTTGCTCATTATTAAAGTTCAATGGGTGGCTAAAGAAAATTCGCGTGATGGCAGCTCGACCGACCAGACGTTATGACGCCGTACGATATCGTTCACCATCAACGACGAGAATTATGCAAATGCCGTCACGTCCGTGATAAAACCCGCGATTGAACCGGCCGCGTAAGGGCGGTCTTACGCGCGAAGAAGCGGCGAGACAAATCCGATTAGTCACGACCGGCGCGATTAATCGATTTATGCGCTCGCCGCGTCGAGGCGGTCGTCACGGCGCCGCGGATAGGTGGAGACGTCCCGGGAACGTCATCGTCGTCGTCGTCGTCGTTATGCAAGCGGGACGCTTAGTTAACGCCGCAGCACCGACGCGTTACTTTCCCTTCCTTTACGACTCCTTGCAAAGAGTAAGTAGTCACTCGCAATGGCGCGGCCGTTACTTCTGAAAGCCGCTGAAAGCGGGAGCGCTGGGCTCTCCGATCTGCTCCTCGCGGAATTCCGCTATGAGGATTTCACGCGTTCACCTGCGCCGAGAACGCGAAACGACGCGTCGTGATTCGGAAAGTTCCCGGTCAGATTTACGATAGGCGGGTTTCTCGCGACGGTCGCAATTTCTGCACGGCGCAAGTACAGAAGCGGATGATTTATTCGTGGCGTGAAAGATGATTTTGCCGCAACTCGACGGCCCGCAGAAATGAAATTTTGAATACCGCGGTTTTCCATTTCGCTTCATTTTCTCCTCCCGGCATCCCTTATTCCGATCGTTTCTGAGGCTTAATTCGTCTCAGCTCGTAAGCATCTCTCACTCTTACGCCGACTAGTTCGCGTTTGCATAAGAGAAATTTCTCGCGACGCCGCGTTGGCGGACCCGATGGAGAAATGCGCGTCTGACTCTTTTGAAGAGATTTCCAAACAACGAGACTAAAGTCACGAGTTTCTCCGGCTGTTTCTCCCTCTTTCCCGGCCTCTCCACGTTCTCCTCCGTAATAACGCGGATAAATAAGCGGAGCTTGCCTTCTTCTTGGTCCTTCCTGAGATCGGTAGGACCCTGAGGTAACGCGATAGGCGAAGTCAGGGCCCCACCTTACACAGCTGCGGGCCCCGAGTCTCGCCAAGTGCAACGTTCCCCGGCAAATGCAAGTCGCGCGAACAACAACAGATACGTACACGAGATTCGCGCTTCCGACATTTTCCCTTTCCTTCCTGCTTTGCCCCCCTTTCGTCTACCTTTTTTATTCTACCGATCGACCGGCAGCTTCTCGAGCGGAACGCCGGTTTTTCTCTCGCTGTTACACCGCTGTTTCCGGAATCGACCGAAACGCAGCAACTCACGTGGTATTGCCCGCGCCGGGAAAGCCGGTGTGGGAAGCGAATAAACGGAAATAATGAATGGACTTTCCTCCGGGAAGATTACGTGCCAAACATTGTGGTTACCTAGCTGCAGTAATCTTCGTAATAAAATCAGACGTCGCCTCGTAGAAAGTAGAATCTCTTGCGTAAGCTAGACAGAGCTTGATTTATCGGTGACGATATTTTCGAAAGATCGATCTACCGTCGTTGGTCGACGACCATCCACGGTCTATGAGTTGCGATGCAAAGAAAAGAAAATGGGATAAAAGGTGTCTACGGTATCACAAATGCTCTCGCGATACAGGAAAGATGTCGGAAAGGTTATCTCAAGTCAATGGACATGAAAAGTTAGTGATATTGATATTGAAAAGTAAGTCAACTTGAAGGAAAGAGAGAAAATTAAGTATGTACCAAATTTCACTGACACATTTTTCACCTACTAATTCAAGCGATATCGCTTCTCAATTGATAGAAGATGAGCCGCCTCTTAAAAGTACTTGAAGACACAGGCTCGGGAACTCGAGTGGATAATGAAACTCAAAGTGGCTAATGCTTTCGCGCTACAAGGTGTTCTATAAATAATTATACGGCTGGAAAAAATCGGAAAACGAAGAAAGATAGAGGACAGAGAGACAGGAACAGACAGAGAGAGGGAGAGAAAGAGAGAGAGTGAATTGCAGGCCGAGCTACTTTCATATTTTCACTCAAGCCACATGGGAGAAAGTTCTCGAGATGTGTGAAACCCGGTGAATGGCCGTTATTGTTCTTACGAAGATGCGTGTAATAATTACGGAGCAGGACACACACATACACGCGCTGCTTACGGATCCTACACTTTGGATGTCGCGGAGATTGTGCAACGAAAATTGTAATCTCGAGCAGACGCTTCATTATCTAACTCAACGAAGCTACTTTCTCATTTGTCAAATTACTAACCGTACGACTTTGTCGTGTAGAATCAGCTGATACGTGTTTGCTCCTCCCGTTCTAACGCGAACACTGCGATCGATGCGTAAAAAGATTTGAATAATTTGTTATCCTGTATATCAAGTCGTTTTGCCTGCACGGAAAAAAAAAGATTTGCTAATATATGGATAACTAAAAATATTAACTGCAGGAACAAATTTTCTTGCTTTCATAGCACAGTTATTTAGTTAATATATATATTAGCAAATCTTTTAGCTATCAGAACTAAATAACTTTGCTATGAAAGCAAGAAAATTTGCTACTGCAGTTAATATTTTTAGTTGTCCATGTATTAGCAAATCTTTTAGCTATCAGAACTAAATAACTTTGCTATGAAAGCAAGAAAATTTGCTACTGCAGTTAATATTTTTAGTTGTCCATGTATTAGCAAATCTTTTTTTCCGTGTGTGCAATTCGTACATTTGGATGTTGTCGACAACATAAAAGAACATAATTCTGATTGTTTCATTAATTATATTCGCCCTAATTGTGCATGCGTGCAAAGTTGTCAAGAAGAAACGATTGGATGGAAATCCTCAAGTTTTGGCGAAAGGCGAAAGTGGCGACAATGATGAATGACTGCGCTTATCATTGATAGTTAATAAATATACCGTTAAAATGAAACGGTAATCCGTCACGACACGAGTCATGTAAGAAAATGAAGTGGGTCATTCTCATGAATCATCGTCGGCGTCGCGAAGGACACGAGAGGATCGCTTTAATCAGTGCGTCCGTCACCGTTAGGATTCGCGAGGAAAGTAGAACGGTCCGCGCTTTTTCAGTTTCACTGCGGAATGACGGCCGCTTGGAAATTTCACCGTTTTCATTCTCGCACCTCGCTCCAGTCGGTTTTATCGAACAACTGTTATTATTTATAAAGATAGCCGCGTACACGCCGATCTCGAAAGTGAAAGCCTAGATCGCATCGGGATCACGGTGATCCGCTTCTAAATACGTCTGACACTCCTAGGATTTCACTTATTCATTTAATAATATCAACATATTTGTTAGTTATACAGGGAAAGAAGTTGTTATCGATCTTGTGAATTCCCTACCGTTGACTGTGTCTCCGAAACGTAAACGAATAATTAATATAACTCTCTTTTGCTTGACGCTTTCTATATAAATATTAAGCGGTCATGTATTGTGCACAAGCATCTAATACTTTTATCAAGATATTATCCTGCGATTTTGTTAGTGTGGAAAACACAAAAGTTTATCACTGTTCACTTAAAAAAAAGAAGCAAAAGATCTTACTAAAAGATCGCGTATTTCACAATAGCTATTTGCGAGATTTATTGTGTTAGGAGGACGTCATCATTAATCAATATTACTATTGCGCGTAAACTTTTCATCTTCACAAAAAGAAAAAGTTTTAAAAAATTATCAAGCTCCATCCTCTCCGCCCACTAAAAACAATCTTGCTGTCAAATCTAAATAGCGTTAACAGTGTGTTATTCATTTCTGGTGTTGCACATTCACGAGTTAACGAGATGATGCGTAAGAGAATTAATTCTCCAGAATCCCGCACAGAAATTCCAAGCGTAAGAGGCAAAGCCTGGTAGGAAGTGAGGCGAGGAAGAAGCTGAAGAATGATAAGAAGAAGCAGAAGAGGCGGAAGAACTCACCCTGCGCAGCCACGAGTAGTAGGACGAGCGGGAGGATCTGCTGCAACATCCTGAGTAGGCGATACGACACGGGTTAAACTCAAAAATGTCAATCCCTAGTCGGCGAAATATTCCGGAAAATGCCTGGAATATACTCGAAAAATATACTCTCTCCTCTCTTTCTTTCTCTCTCTCTTTCCCTTCTCTCTGACTTCTCGTCCTTCTCTCTTTCTCTGTTTCTCTTCCTTTCTTTCTTTTTCCCTCTCTTCCTTTCTCTTTTTCTCTCTGTCGTGTCGTGTGTCGTGGCAGCCGAGGAAGCTCGGCTGATGAGTTTTCGTGTCGAGACTGGTCACTGGGAGAGGCGTTTGGTTGGTGTCTTATATGAACTCCCCACTCCTCCTCGCCTCTGGCCGATCTCTGGCCGCATAGGAAGGTTCTACCAGGAGAACACACCTGGTTTCTTCTATCGGTAACCGTGGCTCTAGCTGATACTCGCCGGTCACTCGCTGATCCCGTTGCCGAACATACCCGTTGAAAATAGTCTTTTTCGTGCCTCACAGAGGGTTATTATACTCTGAGGTCTCTTTCCTCTTTTATCGTTTCTCTGGTTTCTCCCTTCCTCAACATCAGCAATTTAGCTTACTAATAATGTAAGATAATACTGTTGAGTTTTCATCTTGAGGACGTTGCGTTTTGTTAAGATAAAAAGCTTACGTTTGATCGAACTTATTGCGCGAATCGTGTACTACGAACCGATTGGTAGCGCGTGTACTCGGAAACTCGTCTAATCACCAATTAGATACTAATTTGCCGCGGACGGAGCAACATTTCCAGGTTTGACGAGGCGGGACTAATTAATTAATGGCTAATCTCGTCGAGACTTCAGCTTGTAATGCGGACAAAATGCGGAGAGTGCTATCGTGGTCGGAAAACAAGTATATTCTGCTACGGAGACCGCCAAAGAGGGGAAGTGAAATCCCTCTCCGAGGGAAACGAGATCATCGCGTAGAACGGGCACAATTTTTGTTTGCTAGTTAGAAAGAAGTATTATTCTGTAAAAACCTCCACTTACAGAGGAGAGAAAATTCGTTCCGTAGACCAACATCCTCTTTCTTAGTGCAAGAAAAGCGAAATACATAATTACAGTCTATCAACATGTCGTAGAAGGAAAAGTAATTTCTAATTATTTGAAATGAAGAGATAACACAAGAGCAATCGAGAAACTATCCTGCCGAGACTGAGCGAATGCTTCATTTCAACTGGAAGTAAGATAACTGAGAGGACAAAACGACCGTCTTGCGAGTCGAATTTCCGCGTCGTTCTTATTATCGCGCGAATCCAAGCAGTTCAAATCATGGGGTGCGTGACGCTCCGTGTCTTTTCCGTTATCCTGAAGCGCACCACCGTTAAACGTTTATTTTGCGTGCATGAGCGGCCTCGAGACGAGGCCTTCACGGTTTCTTTTCCCCCCGACTGCGCGAGACCAGCTTCACGCGATGAGACGGTGAAAATAAAGGTGAAACACACTCGATGGTCGCACGAGATGCCTACTTCTCGTCCGCCAGCTGCGTGCGGAGTAACGATACGTGTCATGGCAATGTATGACAATAGTAATGGCAAACGTACCGATTGTTAAAGAACACATCCCCGACTGGAGAGAGAAACGACCTTTAACTTCAGAATGTAACAATATGTTTCATTGTGCTATTCGTTTTGCACCCTCATAGAGTACTCGTAATATTTTATTAGCAGGACATCTGTGTGTAAAAGGACGGGCATTACAAGAGAAAGTATTTGATTCCTTTATAGCTGTGATACAGATTTACTAATTTTGTCTTTTTGGAGGCAACGCAAATTTTATGTGTCTTATTATTAACTTGAATTTCATTGAATATTGATACAAATATTTACATTATGTAAGCCTGCATGAATCAACACGCGCGCGTTAAGGACATGTTTCATTACAGAGTTACTAATTGCTATTATACTAACAGCAATTTGTAATTTCAATATTAATTGTGCAATAGAGTGCGAGCGTAGCACAACAGACCGTACTAGTCTACCACACTAGAGGCCCGAGTTGGATTCCCATAGAAACGGAAAAATTTTCGTACGTTCGCATTCCTCTCGGAAGGCATGGCAAACCTTCGACAGTATAAGATAAAAAATCTTAAGGATAGAATTTGCCAAAGTATAGATTAAGAAATATCTAGAATAAGAAAGTAAAATAAAAAAGAAAAAGGAAAAGGAGTAGGTTAAGAAATAAATAGGATAAATGATAAAAAGAAAAGAAGAAACAGAGTGTAGAAAAAATGTAAAATAAGGATAAGGTATAAGCTAAAGAACTTCCTGACATTGTAAGCTTAAGTAGAAAAATAAAGAGTAAATATTAATTGCGCAATATAACTGCGTAAATAAAAAATAAAGTAACTGTAATCACTCTCTTGCTACCTTTCACTCATAGAAAGTGCTCAAATTTGGAAGATATACAAGCACTGCACGAAATTTGTAAAGTTTTCTGGTGTACCGATCCTGACTATTAAGGAATCTAAATTATAGCAAAGATATCCTAAATGTTGACGAAAATCAATAATGCTAAAAGAACTCTAATCTCAAGTACACGATCGTCTCTGTTTCAATTCAAACGTGACTTCCTTCCGAGTGTAAAATCAAGGCGAACAGATATTTCTGAGCAAACTAAAAAATTTCTTCTCGAAATTGTCATACGAGTAATTAAACGCGATTTCTTCTAATTCGAAATTGCGTTGTATCTTTAAATAAATGCTGACACACGTCGAGGACGAACAAGCATATTTCTCAGATGCTTCAGCAAGATTGCACGATATGAAAATATCGCATTAAATGATCATATATTTCCCGGAAGGACGAGGAACGCTCGCAGCTTCTGGCATAATACTTCAAGGATTTTCACCTGGTCTTCTTATGCAAGTGAACATGGTGAGGGAGGACAAAAACGAATGAACGGACGGCGTGCTGAATGAAATAATCGCGATGCTCGGTGGGAATGGTCACAAGAGGAAACGAGACACATAAGAATGAAACAATGGTACTTAGTTTCGAAAGAATAAGAATCTCGCAATCCCACCCTAGATTTACAATAGAGGAGGTCGATCGTTAACCTATCAAATTAATCGCGATCAGGAATACAGTCGCATGAATTCTTAGATATGCAGATGTAAAAGAGGCAAATCGGATTAAACTACATAAAAATAAAATATAAGAGAAGTGAACAGCAAGTAATTAATTTTTTTATTTAATCTAAATTTGAGATTTGATCAAGTCATTCGAAATTTAAGAGATTTAGATTGAAATATGGATTTTTTTTTAATAAACGTTTGAATTAAATATACTTTTCAAACATGATTTAAAGGATTATATTGTCTACGAAAGATTACAAGAGAAGTAACTGCCTAAACGATGGCAAGCCGCCTTGCACTGATGCGAAACAGGTTATATCTCGATAGGGCTTTCACCTAACTAGCAGGATAGGCGTATAAAATAATTTTGATACACTGCACTATACCAAGTAATCTTACAGGATATCTGACGATTACATATGTAGGACTTTCGTGCACGTGTAAATTAGATAAAACTATTCCGTATTCGGAATATCGGACATAGTCATGATGCACGCACAGAGAAAAATAATTTTGCTCTTTTAGCAAAATCGTCGTTGCTACTACATATTCCTAGTGATATCAAAAAAATTTAATTGACGTAATAATTTTACAAATTATTCGTTATCAGAACAGAAGTAGTTTCGTTGTCAGGATATAAAAAATTTGTTGAATATATTTGTCCTAAGAATCACGTTAATTTGCTATTAATGTAAAATAATGTATCCTTAACAAATTTATTTGCTATCGGAGCAAAACTACAACTGCTTATATAAATCCATCATGGTTCTTATAGCAAAATAATTTGTAGATTCAGCAAATTATATCCAGCAAATAGTGATTAGTACTCTTAGCAAATTTTTTTTGCTGACCATATAATAACGAAAAGATTTTGCTAGACCAGCAGAAAATTTGCTGGGCCAGCAAATTATTTTTCTCCGTGCGAATATTTAGATTTATTGCGCCTGACTGAACGATGCGACATCTCGATTTTTCGAAATGGAACTGCATTAATGGAGTCTGATGTACATTACATTCAGACTGAACAGAAAAATCATCTACTATTTTGCAAATAACCACGTAGATTTTTGAGTTATTAATATTATTTTCGAGTTATTAATTGAATTATCAAAGATTTTCTTTTTCTTTATTTAATTTATTATTCTTAGTTCTTAAGATTATTTCTTTATTTATAAGATTAATTTTTAATTTATAAGATTGATTCTTATACAGAGAGAATATTGCAATAAAAATCAGAATACAATTTTAGTAACCCGGAAATAAACTTGATAATTTTTATTATATTTATATTATATTATTTTTACTATGTTTATATAGTTACTTTTACTATGTCTTCTTATAATTTTTATTATAATGTCCATTCCTGAAATAATTAATATTATATTTTAATTTTTATTACAATATTCTCTGTGTCTAAAAGAATTAATCTTCTTTAATTAATAGCTTCAAATTTTAGGTAATTTTGCAAAATAGCAGAGAAATGTTTTATTTAATTTGACGCAATCTACCCACGAATGATTATCATCAAAAACCTTTAATGTGTGACATACACATTAAATTAAATATTTACTCTCTGGAGAGAAAGAAACTTTTTAACTAATATCTCAGATCTAATCAGATAAGTGAAAAGGAAAAGAAGAAAGAGAGCGTAGGAAAAATGTAAAATAAGGATAAGGTATAAGCTAAAGAACTTCCTGGCATTGTAAGCTTAAGTAGATTATATGTAATCCTGATTAAATTTACAAAAAAGTCATATAAAAAGAGACTGATTGTTTCATTGCATCATTGGTATAAATTCATATTAGGAGTTTATACACAATACATTTGCGCTCTTTGCAACAAAATTCTCGTGAAAAGATCTTCAATTAAGATTGTGGATACCTTGTAGAATAGATTAGTGCGGCGAGAGGATTGAAAACAACCTTGTTGAAAACATGAACACGCCTGTCATCATGAGTTACGAAACCGGCGCCGCGTAACGCGCTAAAGTTACGGTTGCACATGTAATCGTGTAAAATATTGAGATAGGTGGACTCCGACGAGAAAGTAATTAATGAGGAAATGTCCCGTGCTTTCTAATATCCCTAACTGAGACGTGATCGACTCTTTCGAGCCGACACAACGTTCGATGACATATCCGCGATTACGCAAGGTCAATAAAAAGTAACGAGAAAATTACTTTCTGGAA